CCGGAAAGGATAATAGCGCGTTCGTTCCCCACCATAGACACCTGCGGTCCAGAGTTTTGCAAATATCTCAGCAACGTTGGAATTGTTAGATTTCTACGATTGAGCAGTTACTGGAATTGCAGAACTTCGTCCGACACCGATGATTTGGCCGAACCACTAATGATGAGATACATGAAGGATTTGTTGGATGATGAAACATGCGTAATTGTACATGAAGGATATGTTGGCCGATAACTTAACCTGTAGAATAAGGCATTTGATCAGCACGCATAGAAAGAAAGAAAGGAGGAGTAGGGATAGCTCAATTAATAGAAACAGTCACGTGTATCTCCTGTAGTTCCGTTGATCGTTGAGTGACTCGATGACAACCGATTAGGTGGTGTTCCTGCAGTGCGTTTATCATTCCGAAGAATTCAGTTACTAACGACTCCTGTCCATTAGTTGTCGTGCATACGCATTACGGGTCCGGCAAACCTTATCCTCGATTGTTTGGCGTACAGAACGGCGCCTTTAATTTTTGATCGTTGACGCAGATCGGAGCTCCGGATCCCATCCTTTACTTGTCTGGAACGGGATACTCCTAGCATCGTCCTTTCGACTGCACGTTCGAAAACGCTGGGTGACCTATCATCCTGCTTTCGCAGCGACCAGGGGTCTGACGCATAGGTCAGGGAAGGAAGTACCATTGAATCGAAAAGGTAGGCACGGTGTCGGGTGTTCTTTGTTTGCCTCACTACATCCTCGATGCTCTTGAAAGCTTCCCAAGCCGCTCGTTTTCTTCTGCTAAGCTCTGGAGCTAGGTCGTGCATCATATTGATTTCCCGACCAAGTTAAATATAACTGGAGCATTCAGAAATACAGGTTCCGTTGAGCGTCAATGGGGCACAAGAAACCAATCCGTTCTTCGTGAAAATCTTTTTTGTAAGATTTAGTCGAAGGCCAATCTTTCCACAAGCTTTATCAAAGTCGTCAAGCATGCGTTCAGCTTGGCTGATGTTTGGTGTCATAAGGACGATGTCAAGAGGAAAGCCAAGATGATGTAACTGCCGACCGACGGTTTTCACTGCAGTATTATCCATTCCAATATTCGCATGACGTTCTCGAGGGTGGCGGCGAATAATTTTGGCGCGATGGCATCGCCCTGCTTTACACTTCTTTTGACGTCAATGTTAATATCGCTGTGGAATAGTGATATCATGGCTGTAAAATAATTGTACAACTCACGAAAAATCTTTATGTACTGTGTAAAGACTACTTGGCTATCAAGGGCTTCCATGACTGCTTCTGAATCAAATTGCTCAAATCAAATCAAATCAATTGCTCACATGGCTGTTCTTGGTCCAGTGTTCTGTAAATCCTGTTTAGGTTGACACCAGTGAAAAGTTTATAGACGACAGACAACAAGCAGATTAGGTGATAGTTGCAGATATCGTGTAGGTCACACTTCTTGAAAAATAACACGGTCATGTTAATCTTCTGATGAGTAAGAACCTTGCATTCAGATAGGTAACGTGTGAAAAGCGGAGCCACTGTGCTTACGAGGGCGTGCGTGAGGTTCTTCAGATTTTCTAGTCTTATCATTTCCAGACCTGGTGCTGTTCGATTTTTCACCGACGAAATGGCGTGACGGATTTCGGAAAGGAGAACCGTTGGCACAACATATCCATCCTCTTTTATTTCATATGACGGAAGGTGTACGTGTCAATCGAAGAGATCTGAGCAGTATTCGCGAATAATATTACCCATTGCCTTTTTGGACGCTGTAACTGTTCCGTCTGGCTGCAATCATCTTGGTCTTCTAATTGGAGAAGTTTCGGTGGGTGTTTCGAATGATTTTCACATTTTCTGCAGTTTCGACCATAAATGCTGCTCTTTTCTTTTCAAAATGTTCCTTTGTCGCCTGTTGCGCTATTTTCCAAGTTCGGACGTCAGTTCGCGGTCCCTGCAGCTCATCCGTATCAGCTCGAGTGTTTTTGGAGACAGACGTCTCTTGGTGACTTTCGAAATCTCAGCTTTCATAGCACTAATGTGGAGATGTTGAACGAGGCGATCGTGTTCTTTTCGAGAACGGCACCCTTCCAACAACCGACTTGCAAATTGAATAAGTTCCAGTTTATGGTGGTTTTGGGAATTCGTTTTTTGAATTTGGCGGTTTTTCTCCTTTCCGCGAGGAATAGAATTTTGCACGAAAAAGGTGATGGTGCGGTCCCCCGTGTGGAATTTTGGAACAACAGCTACATCGGTATGGGAAAATTTTTTGTTTACTATGATATGGCTTGTTTCGTTGTGGTACTCTGCACTTCGAAACTCCCACGCTCAGCGTTGAGGGTGGTGGATCTGGAATTGCGACTTACCTTGGATGTTCATGGTCGTCTTGATAAACTCGTGAAGCCGCTCACCCTGTGTGTTCAATTCTAATCCATAGCTACAAATGTGACGTTCTTTAGACGTTCTTCTTGGTACACTATGGAGTGTGGAGCATTTTAAAAAAAAGCGTCTACGTGCCTAGTCGAAGCTAAGGCATGCTGAGAACGATGCGCAGAGTTCTTGACCTCTAGAAGTCTCGTTGAAAATATACTACCAATGGAAGCTGTCACAGTTTCATCGTTCATATGTACTTCAGGTTTTCTTCAATGATAGATTATTTATCAAGAATAACGGAAACAATTATAAGGTGAACTAGGACACTTTGCTTAAGCCAACAATTCTGCGGCACGCATATTTCCACTTATAAGGTGAATCATTCCCCTTGATTGCGTCAACCTGTGATGATTTTTGGTGTAAAGGATAAATACAAGGGTTCGGTGTGGAGCAACTGCTTGCGGATAAGCTTACGTTTTCCCTACATTTAAGCATCGGAGAGACCACTGAATGCATATTTCAATTGTGCAGTAACTGTCGAGGCTCCCTCACATGTCTCATAAGTGTTCTTCCCTCTTATTATTCTAAACCAATGTGATTTCAGTTTGCTAACTCCAAATAGGTTCAGTCGCGCATTCTGTTCGCGTACCTCAGAGGAAACGATAGCTGGAATGACTGAGATTCAGATGAGAGATGTTGCTGTGTTACTGTCAATGCATAACATTACAGATATGCAAAAAAGACAAGTTAATTAAGGCCGATGATCCAAAACGGTAGATGCTACTTTGAATTATACAAGAAGGCAGACTATGCCAGGAAACTTCACTGGAATGGTGTAATAGCAGTGTAAATAAACGCTCAATAATGAACGACGTTTGAAACGACATAGGACTTACGAAGAATCTCACTCAATCTCACTTCTCTCTCTTTATTCACGAATAAGCTGACGTTTCGGCGGATTTCGCCTTCCTCAGAGCCGCTTTCTATGAGGTTCATTGGGGCACATTATACCTCCATGTGATTTCTGTGCGGTTGGTCTCTACGTGACATACTTAGTGGAAACCTATGCCTCTGACTTACAACAAAATAAAACGAAAAAAACGTATACCAGAGTTGACAGCATGAAAAGAAGGATGATTGTGCCTTAATCAAAATTTCCGTCAACACCATTTCATTCATTCGCTGAATATTGTGTTTTCAAGAGCAAAGCGCTAATTAACTACGTCGCGTAGTTGTGTCATAGCACCATAATGATAAACAGCCGTCGCTGCTTGACGTTTACACTTGTTGACTAGTCAGAAATTAACTGGAGTATAACTCCGCGATTACAGTAGTCCACTGGCGATAGGGCTAGACATGGTAAATACAGTTGAATGGGCAACGACGACATGGAACAGATCCTCATTTTTCTCTACTCCTTTAACAAAGGCAGAACCAAGATGATGCTGAGATATCTGCAAAATACAAGACAGCAGGTATCTGTGGTGGGCAGCGAACACTCTGCTACCCTTTCCGGGGGCTAACGCGCTCCGCGCCACATCATGCACGTACTTCGTTTTCCTATCGAAAATCCTTTGGTGTCGTCCAGAGGAATGATGCTATATGGCAAGTGTATCCCTCATAACAGGGACATGCAAGCGACGTTTTCTATGTTGCATAGGAAAGACGTAGATTGCCAGTGAAAACTTGCAGGACTTCGCCCGACACCGATGATTTGGCCAAACCAGTAGTTATGAAATACATAAAGGATTTGTTGGATGGTGAACCATCCATATTTGTACATGAATGCTATGTTGGCCAAGGGATTAATCTGGAGAACAACGCGTATGTTCAGCAGGTGTAGGAAGAAAAGAGGTGCAGCGATAGCTCAACAAATAGAACCAGCACTAGTATAAAAAATTTTTGTAATCTGTTGGAAGTGCCACTCTCCTGACTGTCGTAGAAAAGCCTAAGATTTCACGGCTCCATATTTGCTACAGAACGTGGTAAGCATGCTTCGACCGAATGCCAGCAATATGGAAACAGGTTTGTGAAGACAGTGAGGACGACTAGGAATGCAAACAATGTGCACGAGATGTAGATTGCATGCAGGAGATGGAAATTCTATATGGAAAGGGTTAATTGCGAAATAATTACAAACGGTGTGATGAATATTTGAAACTTCCTCTAGAACATTAATCAGAAATTGTGGGAATTAGTTTTATAGACATAATAACTCGCAAAGTTATAGTGCATAGGACCCCACATAAGAGGCCTATGTCGGAACTTGGAAGTGGAAGTGTAGCAGAGACTTCTTCGAATCCTGTCCACAGCAACGTTATCTGCCCTTCACTACCGGAACAATAAATATGGAAACGCTTGGAGAGTTCATTGAGAAGAACTTGTTCCATAAGTCGTGTTTACAAGAACGTTTACTATTTATTTCATATGTCAGGAAAGACATCCACTGCAGTGGTATTTCCACTGCGTGACGAAGGCTGGGCGCACGATTTCGCATTTCGCTTCTCGCAATGCTAAGGTACTTGAGCTACAAACACGCATCACCCTCTTCTAGGGTAACGCGCTCAGGAAGACAGCGGTAAACTTTTGGGTCAGGCTTAGATCCTTTTTGTCTACTGTCCTTGGGTTTTTGAACAAGCGGTTGGTCTACTGATGTCATGCTTTCGATGTTCATTTCGTTGGACACTTAATACCAGCGAATAAGACGTTCTACCTTGATCGGCATGATATTGTGCTGTTGTTAATGCTTCGGAAGAAACTGTTCTCATGCCTCTTCTTTGTTTTCTTCATAGGCTGCTTAGTTGCTTCATTAATTGTGAAGGTCTAAACGTTCTTTTCTTGTTATCTGTATTCCGTACCTTCCGACCTCTACGTCCCTGCTGTTTTTGATTTCACATTAAAATTGCTGTAGGGATTTGAAGTGCTTATGACACACTTCTCTTTATTCCATTTAGAGTATGATGCGACCTATAGAGCAGGGTTGCTCCCAAATTACTTATCAGATAGGTTTGCGGTTTGCGCAATTCTTCGTGAAGACGACCCATCAAGAATTTAGAGAAGCTGGTTTTTCATAGAGCATTTCCAGACAACATTTGAATATTGGGACTAAAATATGTAGCCATAAGTGTGGAGCTGTACTATACCTGTTTGTCATTAAAAGTGAAATAGCTGTTGCACCAAATCGGAAAATGACCAGAGCATGAAAGATATGATTGTAAAGGGCGGAATCAGAAGCGGGATAGAACCATAAATAAAGCAAGATTCCCGACAGCGTGAATATCTGGAAAGAGTGCAACAGGAGCGGTAGCTCGACGCCCACAGATCTGATGAGTTGTCTCTAAAAACATACATTAATGAAACGTGGCAATTTTCAACGGGCAATATGAAACAACTGGCTTAAAAATCATTTAGAGAGAACAAGAGGCATTCACATACGTTGCATAGCAGAAAGACGACGATGATAAGGTAGATGATGAAACTCGTAATATACACAAATTCGCCGTAGTATAAGTTCATAGCGCGCAAAAACTCGGCAGGAAAAGACGATTCGTCTGCAAGAGGCTCGAGATGATGGAATGTTCACTACAGATTTAAGTGTTCCCCATCGAATGCTGACTTTCATGCAGATTCCAAAGACTTCGACAAACCGAGTATTGGTACGACGTACGGAAGCATACCACAAAATTAAGTTTACGAGAAGGAAATAGAAGATGAATGTGGTAAAGCTTTGGGATAGAGTCGCCTACAAGTTCCTGAACTTCATACGAACTATTTGTCCCACCACAGCCCAGTAATTGTGTAATAGAACCCACTTGTGAAATAGAATTTTGAATTATAGGGGTCCCACATCGATCGAATTTCTCCAGAAAGACAGAGAGCGCCAGTAAAAGCACCAAAAAGGCAACACAAAATTAAAATTATCTGAAAGTCCTTTCTTTAACGCTAAGAAAATCACATACGTTTGACTTGGTCGTTAGCGAACATACCATTGTCTTCTTTTCGTCAAATATGAGATCCATCTTTTTTGGGAAAACCACTGCGATGAACCGATTGAAGGCGAGGGCGAAAACAGTTGGATATCCCATAGCATAAGACGTTACCAAGAGTGCGCCCAAAAACTAAACACAATTTGAGAAAAACAGAAAAGATTTGAGAGTTATAGTTTTAAATACTCGTTTTATATTCTTGTTAACGATATCCTTAGCGGAAACTACGGTGAAAAGGCCGAAAATCGAAATGAAAACATATCATGATTTCTTCGATCATCACTTCTCTCTACAACTATATTTTACATTTTCTTAGAGCAGTCATGTCCGGGATCTCGTTCAAGCCAGCGCTTTCACTAATAAATATGACCATCAAAGCGTTGAACAAAAACGAACGCCCCCAAATAATTGCAACGCGCTCAAACACAGAAGAAATCGCTGTGAAGAAGGCAACCGTAAACCCTTACCGAATTTAAAGTTGGATGAATGACAGGTGTGCGGAGAGTGATGGCCACTGCAGCGACTTGAACTCCACAATTCACAGCATCAGCGGCGGAACTAAAGAAGATGAGACGATAAGCGGAAAGAGCCCACAGACATTTGGATCGTCGGATAACCTGGAGATTACAAAGTACACTGTGAAACATCCCACAAAGTGTTCGTGGTAATTAAATTGGAAGATTTTGCCGTGCTTTACAAATAGAGTGGAATATACTGCTGTTATCAACCAATATATCTTTCTAGAAAGCCTTAAAAAATAGGATAACAATGCTTAGTTGCCTGTTTTACCTCGAAATGTTGAAGAGTATTCGAAAGCACCTCAGCGAGTTGTTGAAGATCAGCACTCCTGAAAGTTGATTTGAAAAGTTCGAAATCCACTTACACGCTCGCAATAAACCATACATATTTCGTTTATCATTGAAAATAACGCGTAAAAGTTTAGAACAAGTGAACCGATGCAACTGTGCGACTTGCTTGTCAGTGGAGCAACTGTAAAAGATAAGCATTTACACGCTTAGTTGCTTAGTGGAAACCAGGGTAAGTTGAGAACGACGCGTAGAGTTCTTTCCCACTTGAAGTCTCGTTGAAAATGTGCGATGAATGAAGACTGTCACGATCGCGACAATTTCTCATCACTCACATGCACTTCGATTTATTCTTTAATAATATATTATTTAGCTAAGATAGCGGAAACAATTAAAAAACGAACTCGGACAGAGTGTTTTAGCAATTCTGTGGCACGCATATTTCCATTGATAAAGTGAATCCTCCTCTTAGATTCCGTCATCCTGTGATGATTTCTGCCGTAAGGGATGAATACAAGGATAAAGTGTTCGGTGTTGATCAACTGCTTGCGGTTAAGCTACGCTTTCCCTACATTTAAGCATCGGAGAGGAGACTGAATGCATATTTCAATTGTGCAGTGACTGTCGGGGCTCCCTCACATGTCTCATCAGTGTTCTTCTATTCTTTCTAGATCAATCTGATATCAATTTGCTAACTCCAAATAGGAGCAGTCGCGCGTTCTGTTCGCGGACCTCAGAAGAAAGGATTGCTAGTATGACTGAGATTCATATGTGAGATCATGCTGTGTTACTGACAATGCATAACATTACAGATATCCAGAAAAGACAAGTTTGGTTGAGAACGTCATTTAATGAGGGCTCTACTACTGGATGCGCGGATGCATCGTAAACGAATGGTAATTTTGTGGTTTCCTTATGTGGAGTTACCACGGCGCGATGCGGTAGATAGTGAATAATTACACCTTGTTGGCGTATCGATTGATCGACTTCCTCAATAATGTTCCCATTTAGTTCCCAGGATCGACTTTCTCTTAACCTCGGCATTGGAATATGAATGTGTCGTTTTCTTGTTCAACAATCGCGAGGTTTTTAAACAGCATACATTTACTTCCATAAAAACACAATACAATACAACGCTAGCTGACGTTTCGGCAGTATCGCCTTCTTCAGAGCCTGGAAGGGTATACTGATATACATTCTACTAGGCCAAACGCTTCAAATAACACTTACAAAAAGACGAAAGACTCTCTGGCAATTACATGATCAACAACTTCTCGAAAAAACTCACCGCTTTTTCGTGACTTCCAATGAGGAAGTTTAGAACAGCTGATTATAGTCGGATGTGGTTGACGACTGCACCATTCCACATCAAAAAAAGATGCGAACGTACGGGATTAGGTCGCGTATGACCTCTGGGCATTCATCCCTGCTATTCATTGTAGGGTTTTTGACATTGATCCAAAAAGCCTCAAAGAGTTTTAGCGCTGGTGTTTTGGACTCCTGTGCAAGGATATTGACTTTTACTTCAAAATCGTCTCCGCTATGCTTTTGTATCCTATGCGTGCTTAGTGGAGTGCTTCGTCTTAGTTTTCGTTTCCCATCTAGGTGATTTTGTTCCCATTTAGTTGTTGTATTATCGTTTTGTTATACTTTTCTAGCAGGGGAGAATTTTTCGTCTGGGTGGCGATTGTCTCCTGCAATCGTCGAAATGCCATGCATTTGTTCTCAGAGAGTGTAGTTGAGTTGGTTTTCCACGGAAGTCTCACATAGTCTCTTATCATTTTCGCAAACTGTTCCCAAAATTCAGCATTTTGCTGCTCTTGTTCTTCTATTTTATATCCCGCAAATTTGTTAAATCTTGATGATTCTAGTGTGCAAAAATCTTCCCATGATTGCCACGACCGACTTTCCATTAACCTCGGCATTGATCAAATGATTTTGTTCGTATTTTTTTGAGCAAACGCGAGGTGTTATTGTTCTTTGTTCACGATTAAGCTGACGTTTCGGCGAATTTCGCCTTCTTCAGAGCCGCTTTCTATGAGGTCTCCACTAAGTATGTCACGTAGAGACCAACCGCACAGAAATCACGTGGAATTATAATGTCCATTATACTATACATTATACTATACATTATACTTCNCCATGATTGCCACGACCGACTTTCCATTAACCTCGGCATTGATCAAATGATTTTGTTCGTATTTTTTTGAGCAAACGCGAGGTGTTATTGTTCTTTGTTCACGATTAAGCTGACGTTTCGGCGAATTTCGCCTTCTTCAGAGCCGCTTTCTATGAGGTCTCCACTAAGTATGTCACGTAGAGACCAACCGCACAGAAATCACGTGGAATTATAATGTCCATTATACTATACATTATACTATACATTATACTTCCACGTGATTTCTGTGCGGTTGGTCTCTACGTGACATACTTAGTGGAGACCTCATAGAAAGCGGCTCTGAAGAAGGCGAAATTCGCCGAAACGTCAGCTTAATCGTGAACAAAGAACAATAACACCTCGCGTTTGCTCAAAAAAATACGAACAAAATCACTTCCCATGATTGTTGTTCATAAGGTTGAGGGCTGGGTACTGTACTCTCTGACAAGGAGTGTACTTTCTTGCAATTTAATGTGCCGCTTATGGTTGGCTCCTACTACTAGATAACCTGTTTAGAGGGAACTAACATTAATCCCGATGGTAATGTTTTGTTGTCTTAGGTTACTGTTAAGTAGAGAAAATACATCTGAACATCCGAGCAGGATTTGTGGATGTACGCTGCTACAATCATGATCGATCGACAATTTAATATTGTTATGCCGGAAGAACTTCTTAGCTTTTTGGCTGATAGATACACGCTTTAGAGGTTTGGAAATGGTCTCGATCCTAGTTACTGTAATTTCATGTTGTGTTCCATAGACATCCCACAATTTTGCTGCGGCAAATCCACAGTTCTTTTTGACTTCGTTAAGAGCGGCGAACGTGTTAATGGATAATTCTACGGAATCAATATTTCGTAAATGAAGACGTTCAGCCAATTCGTTGGTGATAAATAAACGATTGGATCCTGTATCAAGCAAGAGAACTACTGGTTTATTTGTCTGACTGAATGGGTTGAACATCTGCGCTTGTCCTGCCAAAACTTGGAATTCGTTGTGTCTTCTTTCATTGCGTAGAGTATGACCGTATCATTCTGATAGTTTTGTAGGGATTCTACTGCATTGATTCGTGATTGCGTAGTCTTCTTGCCTTTCGTAGTGTTGACAGGCCCTTTCCGTTTGTCTTTTTTTATTCTACTTCTGACTGATTAAGCTGTTCTCTTAAAGGGTGTTGGCGCTTACAAATGAACGTGTGATGCCCACGTTTGCTGCATACTCGGTAGCACCCACCTTTGCAAGCCGATGTTTGGTGAAACTTTGATCCAGAGTTAAAGCAAAGATTCCGACCTTTCATAATCTGTACTCTTTCTTCATATGTTCGCACTTTTTTGCAGTCAATTGGGAAATGTCCTTGTGTTCCACAATAGAATCATGGATACATTTTGCTCGTGTACATGCGGGTTTGAGGCCGAAAAGTATGCTGTAGGTCTCTTGTTCGAGTACCTCTCAAGTCTGATGTGACACTGATGTTTCTGCCCAGCTGTTGTTGTATCCTGAGCTCCTTGCTTATATATTCATTGATAGATTTCAAAAATATCTTCGGTTTTGTGTGTTTTATCGGATTCTCGAGTTTTTTGATCCAGTACGTGTCGTTGGATATCTCTCGTAAATTTCGTAAGAAGTTGATTTTGCAGGTACATGGTGTCTACAAATTCCCCATTGTATGCCAAGTGAGTGGCTGATTACGGAAAACAAATGCTCGCACAATGTCAGCTGATCTTCAAGGCGGTCGCTCTTCGCTTTGGTCGTCTGGACTCTGTTGAGTAATTCGTCCAGCAAACCTTGTTTGTTAGCGTGCTTCTGCTTTAGATAGGTGAAAACCATCTGGTAGGGTTTTCGTGTATTCTGTATTGATTAATGAAAGTTTTTGCTTTTCCTTCAAAAGAATCTAATAGGTAGTTCATTTTCACGAAGTCGTCCATTTTTTGTGTGTGCACTGAGTGGTTGAACGCTTCCCAAAAGGTGTGCCACTCCCATAGTTTTCCGCTGAATTTTGGAATAGGTATAGGTGGGAGCTTTGCTGCTGAAGGACTGAAATTTGTACTACTCGAAACTTTGTTTTTTGTATCTTCTAAAGTGTTCTTTACTTTGAAGAACTTGAAGAGAGAGCGTGCCGCTCTATCAAGTAACTCAAGTGGTTTTTCGGTGTTTGCATTAATTCTATCGCGTGCATCCTCTACTAATGGGATGTTAGGATCAAGGTGTTCCGCTTCTTCACTATACTTACCGAGTGCTATGTGGACGTTTTCCATTTCGAACTGAATGGCGAATATTGCATTCGTGATGCTTTTTACTAGCGTATTGACGTAGGAAATGCGGTCGAATTCATCAAAGGAAAGCTCTACTTGAGACAATGCTAAGTGTTCACTATCGTCAAGATTAGTTAGGAGACGGTTAGTACCCCTTGTTAAAGCTCCTTGACGTGAAGACATTAAGGAAGTCATTATAAGCGATAGTAAACGTACTGCTTTTCCGTTTGAGACTGATTGTCCTGTGACTTCGTTAACAGTAGCTTGGTTCTTGCACCAGACTTTACTGATTCGGACAATGCACCAGAATATTGCAGTTGCTAGTCGATAATAGGCCTTTAAGTCAGTTCTCGGCACCGAATAATCATTAGCTTTTAGCAGAATGCTCGACTTCGTGAGAAAATGCCACACGGAACTCTTCGTAGTTGTCACAAGGCAATACCTCAACTTGGGTAATTAAACCGTTTATACACATAAATGTAACATCAAAACAGCACTAATATCGACAGAAAACTACTGACAGACAAATAAGGCAAGTTCAAGGCTATGAGATGACGCACCTACTACTAAAGCGAGGCTTACGAAGGCATAAAAGAATTGTAAATAGTACTATTAAAACATTAGTACTATGATAACAGCAACTTGATAACAATGATAAGTAAGGGGATACGAACGATGGCGCCCTCACTGGCGCGTACAGTGGCCCAGATGCCGAGGGCTAGAACATCAGAAGAGTGAGATGCAGATGAGCCCTGCAGTAGGCTAAGCTAGGGATCGTATGTAGAGCGGATGGGTGCACTTACACATTAATCGATGAGGATAGCATGTTACCTAAACATAGATGGTGGAAATGACTACAAACGAGATGGGATATCTGCGGAACACGGTCAGGCGGCTGCTCTTGGGTAACGATATATCTGCAACGTGAAGTTTGAGCATCGATGGGTGCCACCATTGCCTAAGAGATTATAGACGAGAAAGATAACGACTGAAAAATGATAACCCTATAGCGGCTTAACAAATACACAGCATAAATTGGCCGGCTAGCGGCCTTGCATGCATGGCGTACCGTGTAGGAGGAATTTTTACATGCCACCGATGGCGTTTCAGACAGAACGCATTTGAGGATAGCCGCCGCTACTGACAACACACCGCAGACCAATTGATAAACAATAAACATTGACATGAGCATGAGGATCAGGATGATGATCAGGAGGATACACTGGGCAGACGGAAAGCGTGACGTAGTGACCGTGATGCTAAACTAATGTACAATTCGCATCTGTCATTTAACAATGATATGATGAAGTTAATGTACAATAATAACTACGTGCTGTATGAATTAACAACTAGGATAACCTACACGTGACCAATACGGTACAGATCCAAACAGCCGGTGAACCCTAACAGGGGTGAACCTGGATAGCCGACGAACCTGGGCAAGGGCGAACCTGGATGACAATTAACGAGCCTATTTATATGCATCTGGAGAAGGCGGTATTTGGCACAGGTCTAGCATCTCTACCGAAAACATTCATCGGCTACCGTCTCCATATCCTCTCAAAACCACATAACATCTGGCAGAAGACTGCTCTCGCAAACATCCACATGCCCTTCTTGTTATTGTACGCGTGATGACTTTTGGACAGTAATAACAAACAATGAGTTCAGATTGCAAAAATAGGTTTGCATAACATGACTGTTTACAGCGATCGAAGATGCTAAGGACGGGATCGAAATATTTACGTACTACGACATTTGCTAGGCAACTTGAGAAATAGTGGATATGATCCTTAATACTGAAACATACAGTTGTAGAAGGATACAAATATATATAGAAATAAGCAGAAACTATTTTCGGAATAGTTGCTATACCCCGTGTAAATTTTGGAATAACAGCTACATCGGTATGGGAAAACTTTCTGTTTACTATGATGTGGTTTGTTTCGTTGTGGTACTCTGCACTTTGAGACTCCCACGCCCAGCATTGAGGGTAGTGGACCTGGAATTGCAACTTTCCTTCGATGTTCATGGTCGTCTTGATAAACTCGTGAAGCCGCTCACCCTGTGCTTTCAATTCTAATCCAAAGGTACCAATATGACGTTTTTTAGACGTTCTTCTTGGTACACTATGGAGTGAGGAGCATTTTAAAAAAAAGCGTCTACGTGCCTAGTCGAAGCTAAGGCATGCTGAGAACGATGCGCAGAGTTCTTGACCTC